AATTTAGTGCAATTCCAATCAAAATCCCAGCAGGCTTTTTTTGGAGAAATTGACAAGCCAATACTAAAATTCAGATGAATATACAGAGAACCAAGAATGGCCAAAATATCCTTGAAAAAGAAGAAAAGCCCTGGCTGGTGTGGCTCAGCGGACTGAGTGCCAGCCTGAGAACCAAAGGGTTGCTGGTTCGATTCCCAGTCAGGGTACATGCCTGGGTTGTGGGCCAGGCTCCCGGTAGGGGGCTCTCGAGAGGCAACCACACATTGATGCTTCTCTCCCTTTTCTTTCTCCCTCCCTTCCCCTCTTTAAAAATAAATAAATAAAATCTTAAAAAAAAAAAAGAACAACGAAGATGGAGGGTTAACCCTACATTAGTCAAAAGAGCATGGTATTGGTGTAAAAACAAACAGTTCAATGGTACAGATAGAATATAGAGCCTAGAAATAAGTCCACTTATACAGGTAACTAATTTTAAACAAAGGTGCAAAGAAAATCAATGGAGTCTTTCAACAAATGGTGCTGGAACAACTTGGACATCCACACGCACTAAAAAAGAACTTGGATCTGTACCACACACCATATATAAGAATGAAATAAAATGAATCATAGACCTAAATGTAAAGCCTAAAACAATAAAACTCCTAGAGGAAAACAGGAGAAAATCTTTGTGATCTTGAGCTGGGCAAAGAATTCTTAGGAAAAAATTTATGAACTGTAGTTTTGAAAGTTAAAAACTTCTCTTCAAAAAAACTCCAATAGAATGAAAAGACTGACACAGACTGGGAGAAAAGTATTTGCAAAGCATACTACCTGTTACAAGACTCATAACCAGAATGTGGGGGGGGGGGTGCCCCAAACAAAGGAACTATCTTCGGGAGGGCAGGCTCATTATAGTACAGGTTTCCCCTGCTAGGTGAGTGTTCTCGGAACCCATCTACATCAGTGTACTGGCTGGACTGTTGTGAGAGGTTGCATTTTTTTGAAGAGGTATAGGCACTATTCAATAGCACATGAAAAGATGCTCACCATCACTGTTCATTAGGGAAACACAAATCAAAACTATAATGAGATACCCACAGGACAACTAGTGAAAAAAAAAGAAAAATTAACAAGTACCAGCAAGAATGTGGAGAAACTGGAATCCTCATACATTGCTGGCAGGAATATAAAATGGTGTAGTTGCTGTGGAAAACAGTTTGACAATTTCTCAAAAGTAAAATGAGCTGAACACAAAAGGATATATATTGTATGATTTCACTTATATATCTAGAATAGACAAATGTGGAGAAATAAAAAGTAGATTAGAAGTTACCAGGGGCTGGAGGGATAATGGAATGGGGAGATACTGACTCAAGGGTACAGAGTTTCTGTTTGGAGTCATCAAAAACTTTTGGAAAAAGATAGCAGTGATGGTTGCATAACATTGTGCGTGTACTTAAGGCCCCTGAATTTTACACTTAAAATGGTTAAAGTCACAAATTTTTTATAATCTAAACTTTTTTCTTTCACAGAATTTTACAATTCTGTTTACAAAAGTAAGCAGAAAAGTAAACAGGAAAAATAAAGTTATTTTTATTTACTAAAATCCTCACTAATCAAATGTTTTAACAAAAAATTTTTCTTCTGTAATAGAGACAGAAGAGTTGTGACTGCTTCTAGAAAATTCTTTAGTTTGGCTTTCAACTAGCACTGAAATGATTTTAAACTATTGTGTAAATCATAAAAGCTACTATATTAATAGAGTAATCTTAACTGATTCTCATAAATAAAAGAGACAAGGAAAGACAGCACATTGTAGAAATAGCCTTAATAACCTGTTATTCTAATTAAATTTGATCATGCTTTTAATTTCCCAGATGTGTTATTTTAATTGAAAAGCACATTATTTGATAAAGTTGTTTTTCTCTGCCTGGATAGTAGTAAGTAGCAAAAGGAGAAGACAATCATATTTAACATTTTTAGATTTTTGAGCATCCTATGAAATAACTATATTTCATGCAGTCAAAATTAAAACTTACTCTTTTGAGTTTTTCCTTCTTAGTACTATACAGCTTACCTGCTCTTAAAGATGTAAGAGATTATCTATTTTCTGGTTCCAGAGAGAGGCATTTCAGCACATGCCAAAAGTAAGCATTTCCTCAAAGATTACATAAGATTTCAGAGGAAGAAGAAAAAAAATGTAGCAAAAAGAACTCTAGAAATCTTAAAATACCACTAGTTCTATCCTGACCCAGCTATACATCCTTATACAAGTCATTTCTCTTAAAAGAAGTAGCTATGAAACTATATAATCAACAATTCAATTCAATAAGCATTTGATGATTACCTTATGTGCAAGATGTATTAGAAGCAATGAAGATCTTTCTGTCAAAGAGACTAAACCCATAGACCCATCTTTAAAGATTTTACAATCTAATAGAAAAAATATTTTAATTGAGCAAATAACCTGCTGCTTCTGTGGTATGACAGAACGTATTTTAGACTTATCAGGTAAATACGGGCTTCTTTTAAAATAAATAAATAAAAAAAACAAATGGAGGGATTGGGGATAAGGCCAGCTCAACATTCAGCTCATAATTTCTTTACACAGCCAAACAGATTTCAGTGAAATGCTCAAGTTTTAATAAAGTATGTTGTTATATTTTAGAGTTCATGGCAGATATATAATAAAAAGGGACTTTCAAGACCTTTAAGTTCAAAGATAATTAGATCCTAAAAGTTTACTTACCTTCAAAAAAATTCCTTTATAAAAGTTAGTATCTGCCTTATAGAGAGACATTATTCATGTCAGTAACTCATTGATCATATCTGATTACTCTGCACCAGATCTGGCTAAGGACTAAGAACTGTATGCTTACTACTTAAATAATTTAGCCAGCATTGGGGAGAAAATACCTCTCAAAATTGAACCAGTGGAGAGAGAGAAAAAAGAAAACAGAAAGGTCAGTAAACCAATTCAGAGAAAGCCTGAACCACTCATGTGATCCACAGAATTATTGAAAGCAGTTCATCTTTCCCACTACAGAGACCAGGGAGATAAGCAGTCTAGAAGCAAAGGCTGTTTTTGCCCCATAGCTTCAACTTTCAGAGTCCAATGATTCAAAGACAAACAAGAGCATGCTGGATCATATATTTCCCAACTCCAACATAAAGCAACTATTATTTAACCATGTGGTCAAAGTTAAGCACCTAACAAACTAAGCAGAAGAATAAGCAGAAGAAATAATGGTGTAAATAAGAATCTTAATCCAACAAATGAATAGAACTTAAAGATCAATTAGTTATTTTGAAAGACAAAAATGACTAATAATCTCATATAAAATGGAAACATAAAATGAAATCAATTTGAAATGATTTCTCCCTGAAAATTATTTTTCATTTCAACATATTTACTGCAAACAAGAATATAACAAGAGTATATGTGTGTATGTGTGTGTGTGTGTATATGTAGATATATATTTATATATAAATAGATACAGATATACACACACGTATACTTTTTTCAAGAATGAATAATTCCTTTGCCTGGCTGGTGTGGATCAGTTGGTTGGAGCGTCCTCCTGTAGACCAAAAGGTCACCAGTTCCATTCCCGGTCAGGGCACATATCTAGGTTTCAGGTTCAGTCCCCAACTAGGGGGTGTATGGGAGGCAATCAACTGATGTTTTTCTTTCCCTTCCTCTTTCTCTCTCTCTGGAATCAATAAATATATATTTTTAATTTTTTTTAAAGAATGAATAATTCATTAATGTAGGAAGATGAAGGAATGAGCACATGCTAATATTCTCCTACTTAAAATGTCAGAAAATGTCAGAAAACTTCTTTTTAATATCCTACATCTATAAAAGCTCAGAGAAGCACAAAAAAAAAAAAAAAAAAAAAAAAAGACATGTCATTAGCAGTCAAAATCACAAATACCCAAAAGATGGAATTGGTTTTCACATCTAAAGGTTATAAACAAGAAAAAAATATAAATGGCCGTCTAAAGGTTATAAACAGAAAAAATACAAATAGCCAGTAAGCATAAGATGTTCCTCCCCTCTAGTAATCAGGGAAATATAAATTAAAACAATGAGATCATTTAATCCAGCAGATTGGCAAAATATTAAAAATAATGATAATGGTTTAGAGCAAGGATTTGGAAAAACAAGGGACTCTCTTTTACTGCTGGTGAGAAAGTAAGCTGAAAAAGTCTTTTTAAAGGTAATTTGTTGATACCCACCAAAATACAAAGTGTATATACCCTTCAAATTTGCAGTTTCACTTCTAGGAATCTAAACTAAAGGAAATATTTGCTCACATATGTTCAAGCATGTTCAGTGCAGCATCTCTTAAATTGGGTGAAAAGGGAAACAATTTAAATGACCAATGATAGTGGAAAGGTTAAGTAAATTATGCCTCATCTACACTACAAAATATCATTCAGGATGAAGAAGTATATGAAAGCTCCTCCCACCCCCCCACCCCCCAAAAAAGCATACTCTTAGTGAAAAAGAAGCAAGTTACAGAATGGATATCCTAAATCCTAGGATATCAAAAATCCTAGCTGCTTTAGAGTATTTACAGGCTGACATACCCAAGACCCCTCTTTATGGTAGTCACCTACCTATCTCTGTCAAGTCCCCTAATTGACAGAGAAACTTATCTGAGTTTCTCTCCAGCTACTTCAGTGATCATTCTTGAAGGTTTCAGTATCAGTATACTCTCTATATTCTTTTATTTCCTTCTAAATAAATCTTTTCTTCCACCTTCAGTTATTTATTCCCATGATCATACCATAAACCTTGTCATGTTCAATAACTAATCCAGTCTCACTGTTAAGCCTCTCATGTTTTCAGCTGTATTTGTATGCTTGTAGCCCTACTTTTACAGTTCTTTTTTCTTTTTAGAGGGAAAAAAAAATTCTTTATTGATAAATAGGTTACAGTGAAATAAATAGAGTAATGGTTTTTCAGGGGAATAAAAATTCCAACAGAATTTTAGTCTCTTTCTACCCTGCCTCTAGCTTTTGGCTTCTGTCTTCTTACTGATCCCATTGGATGACAAAGCCTTAGTGGGCATGCCAGGCCTTCCTGGGCCCTTGGCGACCTCTGTCTTTCTGGCCAGTGGTACAGGTACAGTCTTGGACACACTGTCCTTAAGAGCAGCAGGTACCATCTTGGATACACAGTCCTTAGGAGCAGCAGCAGCCTTGGTTTTTGACCTTTGCCTGGCCCCCTGGGCAGTGGCCTCTTTGGGGACTGTGCTTTTGGTCTTATTTTTGGCTGGGAAAACTGCACCATTCTCGCCCTTGGTGACCACGGGTTTTGAGCTCTGAGTCCCAGCCTTGGTTTTCCTGTGGGCCTTGTCATCTGCTGGGCTGTTCTTTCTGCCTTTACCCTTTGACTTCCCACAGGGCCCAATGGCACCATGGGGGGCCTCTGTGGCCTTGTCTGGCTGTCGGGGGACCTTCCTGGCCTTGCCCACTCTTGCCTCTCCATCCTTGGTCTGGCCACCTTTATAGGAGGCCTCCTCTTTGGCCTCAGCAGGTCTCCTGGGGGCTGACGTGGTGGAAGTCTTCCTGGACTAGATTTTCTTTGTGTGCTTGGGAACTAATTTGAAACTGCCGGTGGCCCCCTTGGCCCTGGAGTTGGTGGGCCTGACGAGGAGGCCACATTGCATGCCAGTGTCCAGGGCCCACTTCAGCAGGTACTTGAGCCAGATGGCAACTACTGTAGGGTACTTCTGCAGGAGAGAAACCTTGACGGCCACCACCGAGGTGCCCCAGCGCTGCTCACCTGACAGTAGCGCCTCCAGTACCATGCGCAGCACGGGTGGGTGGCAGCATGGAGCTGGGACAGCGGTACAGCTCAGGCCTGGCTTTCCAGTCCCAGACCCCCTGGACGTGGAGCTCATGGAGGTTAGGGAGGCTGAGGAAGTCAAGGTGTCACTGGAGGCCAGGCTCCCAGGAGCCACTGCACAGGAAGACACAGACGCAGACGTGTGTCCAATTCTTTATCACCATTAGAACTTCCAGTCCATTGACAGTACAACTCTTTCACTGTCCATCATATACCTAATGATCTCAACTCCCTCCTAAATAACCATGATCCCAAAACTGTAAGAACTTCCTCGTACACACCTTCAAGTCCACTGCATCTCTCCCTCCAACATACTTCCATACAAAACCCTAACCCGGTTAAAACGCAACACATTGCCTATTCCAAAATTGTCCTAATTGGTCTTATTTCTATTCTTGATCCATGAGGCAAAGTCTGCTAGGTGCTTACCCAATATCCATTCTCTCCTTCCTTAATAAGAGAACAGCGATTTTACTTAGGGAGTTAATATACCCAGCCAAAACACTATGCCTCCAAGCCTCCCTGGCAGCTACAGAAGTCTGTGATACTGGAATGTAAAATAAAAGTGAAGTCACTGGGTGAGGCTTTGAAGAATGCTCTTTAAAAGGACCCAATTCAGCCGACATGTCCTTTTCTCCCTTCTGTCTAGATGTGATTCTACAGAAGGATCAGTTAGCTTATACCACAATGAGACAGGCACACTTGAAGATATCTAAACAGAAAGACAAAAGGAACATGAATCCCTGATGTCATGGAGCTACCATATCAGTCCTGGAATATCTACCTTCACGTTTTTGTTACTGGAGAAAAATAAAACTCCTAATTTGTTTGAGTCATTATTTCGGGGTCTTTACTGTTCACAGTAAATACAATTCCTAACTCCTAGGCCCAATACAGCTTATTTCCCACACAGCAAACAGAGACCTTTTAAAAGTATAAACCAGATCATCTTACTAGCTTCCCATCACATTTTAAATAAATTTAGGCTCCTTACTAGGTCAACTAGGCCTTCTTTGATCTGGCCCTTCTCTCTCTCTCAGCTCATCTCCTACCAAATCCCCACACCGTCCATCTGCTTATCACTTGCACACTCAGCTCCAGCCACACTGTTTCTTGACAAGCCAAACTTGTTTCTGTCTCGGGGCCTTTGCATTTGCTTCTTCCTTTGCCTGGAATGCTTTTTCCTTGTACCTTTACTTGGTTTTCTCCCTCACTTCTTTCAGGTTGCAATTTAAATGGTGCATTCTCTGAAAGACCTTCCTGATCACTCTTATCTAAATAAGTCTATTTGTGGCTCCTCATTTCCCTTCCACTCTCCTTAACTCTTCTTATCCTGCTTTATTAATATATATTAAGTAAGAGGGAGGAATAAAAAAAGCAATTTATTAAAAATTGAGTTTATTCTTCACATGTTTAAACTTCAGTCACCTTCAAAGTACTCTCCATTTGGTGCAGTACGCCTGTCGAGACAGGAAACATTTTTTTCCACTGCTCAATACAGTTTTTAACTTTTCTGTTTTGAGGCCTTTGAGGACTTTTATCCAAGGAAACAAAAAGACGTTACTTGGGGCCAGATCAGGTGAATAGGGAGGGTAAGGCACATATGCCATTTTTTGGGGTCAAAAACTGCTGAACACTCAGCACGGTGTGGGCAGGTGCGATAATAAATCACCCATGATGACATAGGCAAACACGTTTAAAGAGCCTTCAAAATAAATACACTGAGGCTGAACACAGACTCTCACAACGCCAGCTGGTGCACTAATACAGGTGGGTTCCCAGAACATTCACCTAATGGGGGAAGCCTGTACTACAAGGGGCCTGCCCTCCAGAAGATAATTCTGGTTTTTGGGGGTGGGAGGTCCCTCCTCATACATGTTTGCTTATTTACTATCTGTCTTCTCCACTAGAATGGAAATCTCCCTGAGGGAAGGAATTTGCATATCTTATTCAGCACTGAATGCCCAATACCTGGCACACAGTAGGGACACAATCAATAAAAGAATACATACCGTGATCTCATTTATACTAAAAAAGATTAAAGCATTTGTGCGTGTGTATGTGCGCGCGCGCACGTGTCTGTAAGTAGATAAAGGATCTAGGATATACACTAAACTTTTGACAACAGTTACCTCTGGGAAAGAGAGTGGGAAATAAGGAAAAAAGAAACTTTCACATTTGCTCTACATACTCCTGCATTATTTTTCTTATTTAAAAAGACAACTATAACATATGGCAGGAAGACAATTTTTAACATACTTAGAAATATAAACCTATTCATAGAATCATAAAGTTTAGAAATTCATAGTAACCTCAGTAAGCATAACACTACCCCAGGGGTAGGATAATCTATGATTATTAAGTAAACGTCTTTTAAGAGAACCAGATTTAGAGGAATAAAATTTCTCGTTAAATTTTTATAGCCCTTATAAAGGATTTTACTGCCCCTTATACAAAATAATAAAGTATACTAAATAAAAAGTATATTAGTAGTATGTTACACATCAAATTAGCAATGATGAGTTCTGTAGAGTTAATTTCCACTTACCATCCCTTGTTCAGTACCAACTTTTAAAGACCTTCCTCCCCCAGAGATTCATCCAATTACCTATTCACTTTATTTTGTTTCAGAAAACATGCACTCTGAGACATCTTTTTCTCTATCAAGTTCTCCATACAGAGTCTAGTGCCTTTTAATTTTTTACTAGTTTATTGAGGCATATTTTACGTATTATATAACTCATCCATTTCAAGTGACTTACAGTAAATTTATGAAGTTGTGGAACACAAATCAGTTTTAGAAATTTTCACTATAATAAAATCACTCATACCCATTTATTGTTAATTCACATTCCTACCCCCTATTCCAATTAACCATAAACCTACTATTTGTCTCTATATATTTGTCTATTCTAAACATTTTCTATAAATGGAATTTTATAATATATGGTTTCTCGTATCAGGCTTCTTTCATTTAGCATCATTTTGGGATTCATCCATGTGGTAGCATCTATCAGTGATTCATTTTTTTTTTTTTTTTTTTTGCTGAACAGTATTCCATTACATGAATGTGCCATTAGTGACTTTTGATTTTATGACTTGAATTTTCACTTTACAGGTTGAACAATAAATGCAGGATTATTTGGATTATTGGGGTGTGAGGGAGAAGAACCTATAGCTTTTATTTAACCCAAATGACAAAGGTTAGTGTTTTTCAAACACAATACTTTTTATATGATGAGGCTGCCTTAGTTTCCCTCAACAATATTATGCCATCGGTCCCTTTTAAAACCACCTTCTTGCTCCTCCCTCCTAACAAGAACAAAAGTATAATTCTCCAAGGTTTCCTCTTCCCACCAAGGCTTATAAAAATCTCTTTTACTACGCCTTCTGCTGTAACTCCTTTTTCTACATCCAAGTCCTTGTTTTCTCTTTATTTTCAAGCTGATAGCTTTAAAATTTTGATATTTTCCAAGTTTCTGAAAAGGTACGTTAGAACTAAGTATCTGCATATTCTGGAATTTTATTTAAGAGAAATCTGTGCTGCTTCTGATGTGGTCCCTGAGGATAATTTCTTACTATGAGGAAAAGCTTTGTAAGTGATTTTTTAAAAACCCCAAAACAAAGAAATCTCACAATACAAATATAAAAGGAGCACGAGGACTCAATATAACATATGCCCCCCTCATTTTAAAAAGGGTCAAAGAATGCAGAGTTTTCTATTATCTCTTCTCTTTAACATGACCTTGTTAATATATTACTGTCTCATCTCTGTTTAATGAGGATGTGTGATTCCGATTAAGTGGACTACTTGCCTTTATAAAATATTAAACATCCCCATGTAGAATGATTGTTTAGTCATTTATGAAGGTGGGTAAGAGATGGTGTTGGAGGAAGAGGGCCGGGGAAGGATGACACAAATCCTAAAGCATACTTCTTACTACCAGCCTTTCTGAAGTCTAAATTCTCTAAGTGATTCCCAGACAATTAACCTGAAAACATCCAAAGCAAGATAATGTGGATTCAGGTAAAAGCATTCCCAAGGGTAAACATTCTCTAGGAAATTATTCCATTACCCCCTTATAGGCTGAATTTACAGTTCTTCTGGTGGAGTACTTAACAGAGTGAAAACAACAAAAGGTAATACCAGTTACATGTAATTAGAAGAACCTTGCAAGATAAGGGAAAATGATACAAGCTATTATTATTAAAGCTTGAATGTTAGCTTTTAACTAACATTTAAATGCCAAGAATACTTCTCTCTTGGTAGCCAGTTATTACAGCAGGTATGTGACAGGCACTATGAGCTATATTTTCACCTTTGAAAGGACAGCTTAAAAGGGGCTCTTTGTTAAGGTTTACTCTACTTCCATTATAGCTACCATCTAACTATGCTGGTGTAAGGTAGTGTGGAGAAAGACAGACTCTGTATTATAAATTTTTAAAACTCCTAGGTAAATCAAAACTTCTTCAACACCATTATTTCAATTTACTCTAAGAAAATGACTGTCAAACACAGGTGAAACAAACAAAAACAGAAAGAAAATGAATGGTATGAAATATGTATACTATACCTTTCTCAGGCTTTCGTATTCCTCACGAAGTTCCCCTGGCTTGCTTAATTTGATTGGTGTTCTGAATATAAACTCTGGAAGAAAGGGAAAGAAGATGCTTTTTAATAAGACTTTCTAGGAAGGGACCAAGCACTACTTTGTCCTAATCTTGTCCACATTATGAACTACTTTAAAAATTGTTGTCATCTTAATTGGAATAGTCATTCATTCATTTAACAAATAATTATTAAAGGGTGTAAACCAGGCACAATTCTAAGCACTGGGAAGAAGCAGTGAACAAATAAAGTCCTTGCTGTCATGGAGTTTACAATGTTGTGAAGGGAAACAGACAATAAATAAGTGTGTATATATAATACAACTAGTGGTACTAAGTGCTATGGAGGAAAATAAATGTAAAATGGAAGAAAAAGATAATTTTATATAGAGTGGTATGGAAGGGTCTCACTTGGTATAGTAACATATTAAAAGACCTTAAGGAAAAACTATATTTAAAGCTCTTAATTCAATGTTACCAAGTAACATTTTAAATGTGCTGAAGTTTTCATAATATTATATTTTTCTAGTATTTCTGTTTCAACATTGACACCAGAGTATTTTCCTTTACACAATCTAAATATTTTCAGGATATAACCTGTTTTTTTATCTTCAAAAAGCCTTCAGTGGTTTTGATCTGCCTATAGAATAAAGTAAAAACTCTTCAACATGTCGTTTCAAAGTTCTCCAGCGACTGAGCATAACTATCTTTCTAAAATACTTTCTAAAAAACTGTATCTCTCAACCCTGCTTACAGTATATATGTCATATTTTAAAATCTTTTATGTTATTTTCTCAGCTAAAATTCAGAACCCAAGATATCCAGGCCCACCGGAAGCACACAATACATGTTGGTTATATAAATAGATGATAAAAATCCAAGTTAAGAACAGGAATACAAGGTAAATCCTAAATGCTATCAAAAAGGAGGGGGAAAATATACACTTCTACCTCCTTAAATGTACATGACCCTTCTATATACCCCTGTATATATTTAATGATTGAATCAGTGTTTATTTTGATGTCCTGACAACTCTACATCCCACTGAGATTGATAAATACTTGTTGTAGGAAAGTAGACTCCTCAAAAAGTTAACTGTCATTTTTCAGTTGTTTCAACTATTTTAGAAAGAATCTTACCTAGTACTCATGAGAAGAGTGGAAGATACTTAGCAACAGTACACCTAATGAAGATGTCTACCTAGTACACCTAATGAAGAAAGGTCTACCAAGTACTATAGAATTGTTAGACCCTAGGTTTGGAGATAAAACATTCCATCACCTTCATCCACTTAAAAGAAAAGGTTCTGATAACTATTTTAATCATATTCCTTAAGCACATTTCCAACTATAGGCAAAAATTACTTAAAATTAGATGTTTTAAAAGAAGGGGAGCCCCAACTGGTGTGGTTCAGTGGACTGAGCGCTGGCCTGTGAACAGAAGGGTCGCTGGTTCAGCTGGCAGTCAGGGCACACGCCTGGGTTGCGGGGCAGGTCCCCAGTTGGGGGCAAGCAAGCGGCAACCAATTGATGTTTCTCTTAGACATCAGTGTTTCTCTCCCTTTTTCTCCCTCCCTTCCCCCTTTCGAAAAATAAAATCTTTTTTTAAAAAATAAATAAATAAAAGAGAAGGGGAAAGAGGGATGGAAAAGTACAACCCTTAAGGCAAAAAAGTACTTTCAATTAATTTATGTTGAAAGTTACATTACGTGTAAGATACTTCATATGTATTTTCTCAGTGAAACTTCACTGAAACTTTTAGTAGTCATTATACACATTTTACAATATGGAAAATGAGAGGCTAATGACATGCTCAAGTCCACAGAACTAGGACATGGCAAAACCAAGAGAAAAGCATTAATAAGAATAAAGAGAAATTACATAATGATTTAAAAGGCAACCCATCAAGCCCTGACCCATGTGGCTCAATTGGTTGGACATTGTTCCGCAAAGCAAAAAGGTGGCTGGTTTGATTCCCCGGCAGGTTTGAACCCTGGTCGAGGCACATACAAGAGGCAACCAAATGATGTTTCTCTCTCACATTGGTTTTTCTCTCCCTCTCTTTCTTCCTCCCTACCCCTTTCTCAATCAATCAATCAATCAATCAAATAAAAATATAAAATACAACCCATCGAGAAGATATAATAATCATGAACTTATGAACATACATCACAGCAAAAATTAACATGACTATAAGACATTAATAAATCCAAAATAATTATAAGAAAATCTGACACACCATAATTAAAATCAGATCAAAAGTTAGTAAAAATATAGAATTGAACAATAAAATTAACAAACTGATAATATGTATTTATATATATGTATGCACCCAATGAACAGACTTATATATTCCTTAAAGCAAACAAAAAACTAAAAATATACTAGGTAACTAAGAAGTTTCAAAAAATTTCAAAGATCTTGTATTATATAGACTTTGCTCTTGGATCTTAGGTGCTATTTTTCAAGTCAAGGTTTCTGGCTACTTGGCTGACTATTTTGCTTTTCCCAATTTTCTTTCTCGATAAATTCTTTTTCTGCTTAAGTTCACCAGAGTAGGTTTCTGCTGATTAAAACTAACACTGTGGCTGATTCTATTTTTTACTATGAAATGACCAATAAACCAACTCCTAGTAAAACCGGTGAAGAAAAAAAAAAGAAGACAAATTAATACTAAGAATAAAGAGAAGAGCCAAAATAGAAATATTAAGGTAAGTTTAAATCTCCATAAGAGTATTAAAACAATGCTATAAGAAATGATCTTGCATATATATAATTTTGCATGCCTGGAAGTACACCCATAGATTAAATTGCTGCAATCAGATTGCTAAGGTCAAAGACAATGTGCTTTTTTGTAATTCTGACAGACAATACCAAACTGCCTTCCTTTATTAAGCCTGTACTGATTTATAGTTCCACCAAGCAATGAATGAAAGTGCCATTCTCCCACACCTTTTCCAACACAATCAATGTTGAAACTTTTTAGCGTTGCCAATCTAATAGGTGAAATTTTATAAATTATTATGAGTAAAGCTGAGTACTTTTCATGTTTTGAGTTACACTTCCTTTGACATGAAATATGTATGAATTTCCTTTACTCCTACGAACTTTTTCCTCTTGATTTGTTAAAGCTCTCCCTATATAAGAAAAATTAGTCTTATATCACACAAACAGCAATACTTTTCCTAGTCTATCATTTGTCTTGACTTTGCTTATAGTGGTTATTTTTATGTACTTATATTAAACTTCTCTTTAATGGCTTCTTCATTTTGCATCATATTTGGAAAGACCTTCTTTGGGCCAAGATAGAATAACAAATTCTATCATAGCTTCTTCGGGTATAAAGCATAAGATTCTTCTCACATCTACTTTTAAAAATTCAAAAGCTTTATTTTTGTTTGGGAAGCAACATAAGGAGCATAATCCTATTCAGGCTTAAAAATAAATAAGTCTACTATCCAACACAAGAAACCAAAAATATTTTAATGATAGCCTGGTAGAAATGATGTTAATTTTTACTTACTATTGAAAAAGTTGCTTTCTCTAAAATAGTTCTTGCTATTAGAACAAAATGTCCAAGGAGCTTAACATCATTTAGTGTAAACAATAAAAAGTTAAAAGCTCAATCCACAAATCAGAAGCTTCCAGAGCCTTGGATAAGTCAATCTCAACTTCCTCTTCTGTAAAATCAGGACAGACTATCATGAGTATCAAATGAGTATAGTGAGAGTGAAAAACACTTTGTAAACTATTTCAGCCAGTAGAGTGGCATGCAGTAGAACTTATAATAACTATAAAATTGTCTCTGGTTTTTATGAGATAAAGAAATTGTGGTTTTATCTGATTTATTTGCGAGTACAATTTATAAGAAACAAAGATAATGATCCAACTTCTTTGACACATACATGAAAAGCTAAATTCGCTTTGAAATACTTATTGAGAAATCACAAAGTTCAAGGCCAAATAGGTACTCCACATACTTACTGAAATCTGACTTATTTGAGAGAAAAAAGAAAAGAAAAAAATGGCAGGGGTAGGGGAAGAGTACCAATTTACATTCACCAAATACTGCCAGGGACAAAGGCGGGTGGACAACACACAAAGGATTCTTTGGGCAATGAAATACTCTGTATTATAATGATGGATATATGTCACTGTACATTTGTCAAAATCCACAATGTACAACACCAAGAGTGAATCCAAATATAAACTATGGACTTTGGATCCTTATATCATTGTAGGTTCATCCTTGATAACAAATCTACCATTCTGATATTGATAATATTGGAGGCTATGTATGTATGGGAGCAGGGAATATATATGAGAAGTCTCTGTACCTTTCTCTCAGTTTTGTTGTGAAACTAGAACTACTCTTAAAAAAAACCAAATTCTTTAAAAATAAAAATAATAAGCAGAGCAAAAAGATGCCAAAAGAACCAGAAAAAGAACACTACCCTCCTTACTCTTTTGTCCAGAGGAGTTAGTCCCAAACTCACTAACCCCTCCACCAGCTTCTATGGGGATTTTCAAATGTTTCTGTAGCACAGAAACAACCACTCACCTTTCCTTCACCGCATAGAAAAGAAATGCTAGCAACTACTTCAGATAGTACTGAGATGCTGAATATTTTGGTATTTGTAAATGAATCCAATGGTTCAAGTGCTTTCTTGATGTCTGTCCTCTGACTACTACTATGTTTAACAGGAAGAGAAACTCTAACAATATGATGCCTTAAGAATGACACACACCTGTGGCTAGTGACCTAAGCTGACTACTCCATTCAGTCTAGTGTCAATTGTAGGAGCGGCTAAACCCTTGAAGGTCCTTCCTAAAAAGGATTTTCTCTGGGGCATAGTGGCTAGTTATTAATAGAAGCAAACAAATAAAACAAACTACAAAACAAACATTTTGCTCATTGCACCAAACCCTCAGGAATTAAGTATCATTCATTGTCAAGGCATCCATACTCGATACAAAATTAGAAAATGAACCTCACTGAACTTTACTGGGGAAATGCTACCCTAACAACTCTGAAATCCAA